GTGAGGTCTGGAAGGCAGAGAGAGAGATCAGAAGTCATTGCTGGCCTTCTGCCCTCCCTTGTTAAGCATTGCTTGGTGTCCCATGGGAGGCAGACACTGAGAAACCTTTGCCAAGGTCCCTAGCTCTGCAAGGGCGTTTAAATTTTTTGGCTAGGACGTATCGCGTGAGTTTCCACAGCAGCGACTCTCCTGTGATGTGGAGGCTCCATTTCACTCTGTAGAAATCTCCCTGAGTGCGTGCAGCAGGCAGCAGGTTCCCTGAGAGCAGGGACCAGCAATTGTGTATCTTGAGCCGGAGCGATCTGGCATCTTTTTGCCTGCAAGTCACTTCGCTTATGAAGGAAGCAGTTCTTGGAGGACTTAGGAAGGACAGTGGCTCCAGCTGCTATATCTCCAGCCCTTGGCCGGTAGGATTGGGCTAGGATGGCGGGGTGACCGCGGAGTAGGAGGAAGAGCAGGGCAGTGGGGTCCGCAGAGGCCCACTGTGGCAGTCCCCGGCAAGCACCGGGCACACGTGGCAGATGCATGACCAGCGAATGAGTGCTCGTTCCTCTTTCCTCGTCTTCTAGTTCAGCAAAGTGAGGACCATCACCACAAGGTCGAACTCCATAAAGCAGGGCAAAGACCAGCACTTCCCCGTCTTCATGAACGAGAAGGAGGACATCTTATGGTGCACTGAAATGGAAAGGTACCCAGGCCTGGGCTGGCGTCGCGGGGCTGTCCCGGCGGGAGGGGGTCTCTCCCGGCCAGGCTGGCGTCTCGCACAGCTGCCACGTGAGCAGTGGGTACCTGGGCATTTCCTGACGTGGCCAATTCCTGGGGATGGTCCCACAGTGAGGCATCTAGAAATCAGTCCACGGGGGCCTTGGGTCCCGGATGGGGATGGTCCCACAGTGAGGCATCTAGAAATCAGTCCACGGGGGCCTTGGGTCCCGGTATCAGCACCCAGAAGAGAAAGGAATTTAAAACAAAAACCAGAGGCGGAAACACCGGAGGGCTTTGCCTGGTGAAAAGGGTTGGACATCATCTGGTTTTTCAATGTTAATCTTCAGTCCTATTTAAAAACTACATCATGTTCCCTCTCCCCCTAGCCCCCACCCCCCTTTTTTTGGTCAGATCTTTTGTTTTCTACTCTTTTCAGAGGGGTTTTCTGTTTGTTTGGGTTTTTGTTTCTTGCTGTGACTGAAACAAGAGGGTTTATTGCAGCAAAAATTAACAACAAAACATAGTAACAATACCTTGCCGAGAGAGAAGAAAAAAAGGAAATTCTATGGAAATCTATATATTGGTATTGGATTTTTTTTTTTTTTTTTTTTTACTATATATCTTTTTGTTGTTGTCTCTAGCCTGATCAGATAGGAGCACAAGCAGGGGGCGGAAAGTAGAGACACACTCAGGAGGCCGAGACCCCTCCCAGCCACTGAGCTGTCTTGCCAGCACCATTCCTGGTCATGCAGAGCAGAACCCAACTAGCAGCAGGGAGAGGACACCACAAGACCCTTTTATACAGTATTTCAGGTGCCTACCACACAGGAAACCTTGAAGAAAACCAGTTTCTAGAGCCGCTGTTACCTCTTGTTTACAGTTTATATATATATGATAGATATGAGATATATATATAAAAGGTACTGTTAACTACTGTACAACCTGACTTCATAATGGTGCTTTCAAACAGCGAGATGAGTAAAAACATCAGCTTCCATGTTGCCTTATGTGCAAAGGGTTTTAATCAAGGATGGAGAGGGGAGAAGGTCCATCACCACCCAGCTGGCTTTCCCCCTTGGCGTGCCACGGGGGTGAAGGACGGTTCGGGGACCGCGTTGCCCTGCTTCTCCCTGCCAAAAAGTGGGTGAGAGGAGGTGGTCAGGACCGTGGACAGCTGAGAGCGGGATTCATCCAGGATCACGCAATAACCTTTTGATTTTTTTTTTTTTCTCCCAAAAAAAGGAGACTCCCTCAGCAAGATGGCAGGATAAGGGGTCTCCCTTCCAAGTTTTTCACATTAGCCGATCTGAGGGCTCCTCATGGTGGGATCAGAACTGATCCAGAGTGTGGGAAAGTGACCGTTAAAAACCCCACCTGGAGCAAATAAAAAAACATACAAAACGTACTGGTGCTTTCCTGTCTAAAGTCGCCTTTTGTGTGTTCTTTTATGAGGCCCCACCATCCGCCCTCTGTGCACAAGGTGGCTTCTGGCCCTGGGATGTGATGTTTTTGGTCATCTCCAAAGGCTGCAGTTTTATACGGGGAGGCTGACGACACCTTTCGTTATAATTATTATTCTTATGGTTCTGGTTATAATTATGTTTGTTTTCAGATTTTTCGTTAAGAACACAAAAACCCAACCCACCCCCCTCCCCTTAAGGTTTCAAACCAAGGTGCGGGGAGCAGGGTGCTTCTAAGCTAGGGGTGGCCCTGGTGCCCTGGCTCCCCACCCCTCGGGCCAGGTGGGCCACCAGGTGCGGCGACAGGTGGGCGGCCCGGGAGTCCCCCAGGCCAGCCTTCCGGTGCGTCCCTTTTCTCTTCTACTTCCCCTCCTCTGGAGTCGTGTGTGTCAGGGCTGGAGGGAGGGCCGGCGTCTCTCTCCTGTGTGTGTGATGGAGTGGTGTGTATTTCTTTTCTAGTGCTTTGGTCTGGTGATGGCTGTGCTCTTAACTTGAGTCAGCAGCACCCGGAGCCCCAAGTGCACAACACTTGGTTCCACTTCCTACCGAGGCAAGCAGCCTGGTGTTGGCGGTAGGCGGGACGCCAGTGGCGGCTCCAGGGTGAGGGCCCAATGGGCGGATGCTTGCCTGGATAGATGGGGTGTAGATATGTGGCATATAGAGATATATATTTTATAATGGGAGGGGGGATGGCACCTCCTGGGACCGGCAGGGCTGGGAGGTGTGCTGTCAAGCACATGGTCCCAAGTTTGCATCCCTAGAAACGGCCTATGGTGATAGGCACTATATAAATAGATAGGGTCATGTATAAGAGATATTATGGAGTGGGGACCGGGGAGCGGGGCTCAGGAGGCTGAGCTTCGGGTCCCGCTGCAGACATAAGCCCCACGCCAATCAATCCCACACGCATACACAGGAACATGTCTATCCCGATGCATAACAGATGCACTCACCGCCAGGGAGCACCCCGCCACTCCCTCAGGAGTCAGGACTTTGTGGAGTCGGCCCTGCAGCTCTTTACCTCTGTTGCCCTGATTGCAGGTAGACTGTCAATCCCAGAAGTTGCTCGGTGCTGAAGGCAGGAAAAGGAGGAGGTTTTATTTTAGCAGGTGCTCTCCTCTAGCAGGTAGCGTGCTCTCTCTTTTGCCCCTGGTGATGTCAAAAGACTCTTCTGTTAGCAACTGTGATACTGACCTGCAACTCTAGGCACCAGTAAAGTCAGCCCTCAGCTCCCCCTACCTATTCTCCCCTCAACCAAAATGAAATTACATTCAGGTCTGTCTTGGCCAAGGGGCTTCCACTCAAAAAATAAAAAAATGGGACAGTGAACCTCATGTTTTGAATCAAGCAAATTAGTAATTTGGTGACAAAATTAAACCAAGGCTTTGAATCCCTTGCTCATTGCTCAGGAGTAAGCTCACAGCCGGTCGCCAGTGTCCTGCTCCTTTTAGGGGTGCTTAGTTCTGGACCCCAATCTACTCCTTTCCTTGTCAGATTGGCTTTGAAGATCACACCCAGTTGCTTCCCGCCAGCTCTGTGGTGGCAGGTGGTGATGGGCCAGGGGGCTGGAGTGGCCAGGAGGGGTACCGTTGCCCCTCCCTCTCTGGAGTCCCTGTACCTGACTGGTGCTTACCCGGCTCCTCGTGCTCCAGCCGCTCCCTCTGCACCTGGAGACCGCCAGCACCACTAGGAGGGCTGGGGGAGGAGGGCTGCCTCAGCAGCCCAAGGTGCTCCCTCCCCCGCTGGCCAGTGCTAGGTCTTCCCAGCCCCCAGTGTCAGGACGGCGCGGCCTTCCTCTGCAGACACTTGGAGCTTTCAGGCTCTCCTGGGTCTTTGTCCGCTGCTCGTGCGAAGGCATTCGCCTTTCCCCATGGCCCAGGCTGCACCCAAGGGGTGGTGTGGGAAGAAGCTGGGAAGCCAAGGAGGTGGCAAGCCCAAGGATCAGCACGGCCGGCCAGCTTGCTCAGGGAGGTGCGCTGTGGCTGACCCTGTAGAGCGCTTGTTCCTCCCGGCGGGGCAGCCTGACGAGGCCCTAGGGTGGACCAGGTGCCCCTCGCGGGGGTGAGAGTTCATCACCAGCCACCCCGTGGGCTCAGTCCCGCAGTAGAACGTGGTGGGTGCAGCGGACCTTGGGGACATGCCCACTTGGCCGTGCCCAGGTGCTCTTACTCCGCTTCCAACCATAGGGGGACTTCTGGGGGCAGGCCCAGGTCACCGGCTAAAGGGGAGCTGTGCTCCAACAGGCCAGTGGTCGAGGATTAAGTGGGGTCGTTACACTTGCTGTGGATGAGGCTGAGGGTGGAGGCAGTGGAGCAGGAGACACCAAACGGCCCAGGGAAGATGCTGGAGTATGTTCCCCGTGGTGTTTTCTTTCTAAAGAGCAGGCCCGTTTCCCCCCGAAAGCCAGGCTTCTAGAGACTGAGGAGGAGGCCTCCCAGTTACTGCAGGTGCCAAGTGGAGTGTGATGCCAGAGGTCTGGGGAGGTAGCCCAGCTCCTGCCAGGGCCCCAGAGCCCTCGGTCAAGGCCTGAGGCGGAAACTGGTCTCCAGCAGGCAGTGCTGGGCCCTGTTGGCCTCAGGCTGGCTGGTGCTACCCCTTTGCCCCGTGGAACCGGCTGCGGGAGCAGCAGGTGCGGATTTGCCGTTGGCAGGTGACAGTGGTGTGTTCCTGTCTGTTTTCTGTCCAGACCCCAGAGCCTTCTTGCTATTGGACATCGTGTTAGCAAAGTTCACGGGAGAGCATGCAGGACTTCGGAGCTCTGGGGACAGGCCTGGGAGTGGTTGGCTGTTGGAGATGCCCGTGTGATTTTTGGTGGGTCGCGAAGGTGCAGGTCAGGACAGGCAGACCCAGTGGGAAGACTGTTGGACATGGGAGTCGTCTCACGAAGGGCTGGCTCCCTGCTCTTCCTGCTTAGCCGGCAATTCTGGGGACGCCTGGGTGGGAGTAGCCACCATCTCCACACAGGAGGTCTGGGACAGGAGCAGGAAGGACAGCTCAGCGGGCCTCCTGGGAAAGGACGTAGGAAAACTGGAACCAGTCGTCCTCACATCTTTGATGGTAGACATAGACGTGGAGTGAATGCTGGAGGTGGTTGTGAACGCCTGTCGCCACTCTGCTTGGTGCAGAGTCGCTGTGGCCCTGGTATCTTTCAGAGGTCGTTTTCGGAAACGTACAGGCACGCCCTGGAGCTGCGGGCGAGGGCCCTGGGGCCTGACTGGCACTGAGGTCTGAGGAGGGCAGGCGGTTCCTTTGTGAGGGGAGCAGCAGAGCCAAGGTTTGGGTGAGAACTGAGTTTCTAGCCAGGCTCCGGTTTGATCTGAATTTGTCATCTGTTGTCCAGTCCGGTTGCTCCCAGGCCTTGTGATTAGAGGTGACCCTGGAGTTGTCCTGCCCTCTGGCGGGAAGCAGCGGAGCCCTTCCTCCAGCCCAGGATGGGAAGGTGTGTGGAGGGCTGGCCCTGCCCTGCTGAGGCCAGTGTGTGGAGGATCCGGGAAGAGAGGGCGTAGATGAGGATGGACTCGGCTGGCAGGAGCTCTCGAGTCTTTCCATCTCGGTAAAGGAAGGCGGGTCTTTGGGAAGCAGGGCAGCCCGCCCCGCACCTGTGTCTTGCAGGGACCCAACCGAGGGGGCCTTTGGTCGGTGACCGCTTGCTCGTCGCTGTTCTAGGCAGTGGAGTTTGGGGGAGGCTGTATACCAGGTCTCAAGCAGCCAGGACAAGGATGGAAGGTCCCTCTTCTAGTTGTGACCGGCTAACTTGCCCGAATGGAGGCCCAAGGACTCCTGAACTGGAAACCTCCCCCTATGCGCGCCCGGGAGGGGCGTGGGAGGGCGGCTTTCTCAAACCCCAGTCCAGCGGCCTCCAGCCCCGAGCCCGAGGGCATGAGCAGGGATCGAAAGCCTCACCCTAGTCCCATTTCACTTCACAGACTGATTTGGCCACACAGCCCTAGAACCCAACAACCAACCACCACAAAAAGAAAAGGCCGAAATTCCTTAGAATACGCAGAGGGAGGAGGTGACTCAACAAGGTGCTAAAAACATTTTATTAAAAATATATATTGTTAAATTAAGTCTGCTGTCTGGACAATGACTGTTTGTTTTGTTTTCTTGTAGTGAAGTTTAAAAGAGACTATTATTTTACTCTGATATATTATTATTAAAAAGGCATTTTAACTTTGTACTTGAAAACTAAATGAGCGATTTCATGTGTTTTAGCTGAGGCATTGAAGTAGCGGGTGCTTATTTGTGGGAAACCATGTATTCATACTGAAGAATAAACTCCGTAGCCGATTTGGTAATAACTTTCCCTGTTACAGACGATTTCGCTTTGGCCCCGTTGGCAGAGCACTGTCACTCCACATTCCACGCAGCTCAATGCAGGACTTCCTCCCCGCCCCGCCCCGGTCCTGGCCTGCCCTTTCTCTTCAGTTCCTCTCTTTTCCTTTCATTGTTTTTCTCCTGGTTCCAGCATCCTTTCACCACTGTATTATTATTTTTTTTTAGGGTTGCTTCTCTATTTATTGACAATAATAATGTACATTTCACAGTCTGGTTCTGGGACACCCGGGTGGGGCGGGTGCAAGGGGCCCGAGTGGGTCCCCAGCCCGGCCGCCAGTGTCCTGTTGTATCTCTGTGTGTGATGCTCGTGACATAGCTGTTTATGAAATAATTAAAGAGGTCAATGCGTACAGCCGATGTAGAAAGTCTGTCAGTTCCGCCTTCATCACATTTTTTTTGTGCCCAGAAGAATATAATAAAGCTCCTTTCTAATGTACTTGTGCTGGAGAACACTTGAATAAATGGACTGTTTTTGTGCAAAAAGAAAAAACGGAACAAGCACCGCAATAATGTCCTTTTGTCTCGCGTCTCCTCTCCCCTGACATGGCTGCTTGCAGCCGTCTCCGGAGGGTTAACCACCAGCTCTGGGTCCGGACGATGCAGGTCCTCTTTAAAACATCACCTGCCTGGACGTTCCGTGGGGACTGCGAACGGGGTGGAAAAAAGGACAGTGTGGTTGACTCGAAGCTCAGAGATAAGTTACAGGGAGACACGTTTGCCGGAAAATCGAATTCTGCCCTGGGATGAGCGACAGTTTTCAGTCCCTTAAGTGCCAAGAGAGGGCTCTGTGCCTGGGTCTTGGTCAGAGGAGCTGGAGGACTTTTGGTTTCTCCAACACACGAGGGTGTCTAAGGGGAGAGCAGCCGGGCGGTGGACCGTCTGGGCTGTGCAAGAGACCCTGAAACGGAGAGGCATTTGGTCTGAAGGAAGAGTCGAGAAGTGTTTGCAGACACTGCCAGGGCCAGCCCAAGGGTGGGGATTGTTCGGGGAATTGCATGAGGCCACCAGTCTGCAGAAATCGGCCCATTCAGCCCCGCATCAGAAAGGTTCTTTTTCACCCCTGGCCAAGGGGGCCAGGGCCGCCCCGAGTGCATTCAGCCCTGGACAGCCATGTGGGGTACTGCTGGCCTTGCTCAAGGGGGTCCTCTCACTGCCTGGGTCCATACACAATGTCTCCTTCGTCCTCATGACTCTGCCTGCCAGTCACTAGTCTCCTGTCGCCCCCATCCAGAGAGGGGTGCGAACACATGTAAACTTGGGGCACTTCCCCCATCTCCACTCTAAGACCCTGGGCGTACCGTGCTGTCTGTCTGTCTGTCCCCTAAGTGCCAACCAGGATCGGCCAGTCGTCTCATCCCCGAATGGAACGGAGGGCTATTCGAGGTTTCTTCACTATGTTAGATTTGGGGGAGGTTTAGGGCTGCACCACTTTGCTGGCAGTTTTGAAAGACATTCACAGGGGAAATTTTGAGGGGGAAAAAATAACAGGCTTTTTTCATGGGCACTTTTCTTGACAGAATTGTAAATGTACATTTAACTTTCATCCGACTTTTTTCTTAATATTTTTCAGTGTTGATGTAGAATTTTCTTTAATGTCTGCATGGCATTTCCTTGTTGGAAGTTTGTTTCTCTATCTATGCGTTTTATTTTAGCTATAAATAGAGCTGCAATAAAGATCTTTGTGTTGGCGTTTCCCCTTATAAATTGTATTTTTTCCTTAAGATACTAGTACATTCCCAGAGATGAGACTTCGGGGGGCACAGGAGGTGAGCATCTGGGTGGTTCCTGACACATTTGCCTGCCTTCCTCCCTCCCTGGGGTTAACACAGACAGTCTCTCTTCAGGTCTGATACTCTCCATTCAGACAGAAACACCGTCTTCAGTTTGGTCCAGTTCAGACACGTGTGTGAACCCCAGTGGGGAAGCAACACCGCTTGGTCACTTTGAAAATTAGCTCACCGGGCGTGCCTGCCTGGGGGAGCCTGGGAGGAAAGGAGTTCCGACGGGATCTTAGAGACTCTACCTGAAGGTTATCAGGAGACGGGGTGCCCTCAAGTTCCTGAGGCCAGAAAAACCACCCTGTGAACTTCTGCGTTGAAACAAAGCATCATTTGGTGGTAGAAGGGAAGGGTCGGGCTGGGCAGGAGCCAAGGCAGTTGTGCAGTGACCAGTCCACTGTCCACGGAGACTGCCCGGGTGGGTCGTCCCGGCTTCCAGTCCGCCCGACTGGGGGAGGGTAACACACACCACCAGGGCCAGGCTTCTGGGTTCAAGAGCAGCTTCCTTGGGTTCAGCAAGGTTGACTCGATGGGTCTTGAGTGGAATCAAGGAGAGAGGGAGACAAAGTCTACTGGAGGCCGAAGCCATACATAGCAGGGCCGTACATAGTGGGCAATTCCTGGGGGATGTGGGTGTTATGTGAGGGGCTGCAGGGAGGGCAGGAAGTGCATGTTGGAGATGGGGCCACAAAGTCACACCCAAAGGGGTTGGGGCTCCCCTGGGATGGTCTCCTGGCTTCACCCCAAAGAGCCCTTTCTCCTCCTTTCCAATACACTTTATTTTTTTTTAATATATTTTTTTATTGATTTCAGGGAGGAAGGGAGAGGGAGAGAGAGAGAAACATCAACAATGAGAGAGAATCATCCATCGGCTGCCTCCTGCACGCCCCACACTGGGGATTGAGCCCACAACCCGGGCATGTGCCCTTGCCCAGGAATCGAACCGTGACCTCCTGGTTCATAGGTCGATGCCCAACCACTGAACCACGCCAGTCATGCTCTAATACATTTTAAATGGCCACGGCTCCTCAGTGGTACCTTTTCCTCCTCTCAACGGGGACCCTGTGAGGGGGTGCGGCCGGGTTGGAAGGAACATGCCTGAAGATGTGGGGGGTTATGGGCCGTGACCTCTTAGAGGTGGACAACTAAAGCAGCAATTTCCACAGCGGGGTTCAGCTCTCAGTCAGTCCTTCAACGGGAAGTCCCAGGTGCCTGGACTGTGTCAGAAGAAGGAACACAGCATTGAGAGCTCGAGGATCCGAGTCCTGTCTGACCTTGGGCAGGTCTCAGCTGCCAGCCTTGAACCTCTGTCCTCTCATCAGAAACCTGGGTTTTATTTTTTGACAAGCATGTGGCCTCTGGTGCTCCCAACCCCTGCACAAGTGTGGGATAGTGGCCTGGTCGGGGTTGGGAGGGGAGGGGTCCTGTCTGCAGAGATGCCAACCCATGGCCCTCGCTGAGCTCGGGGCTTTGGCCAAAGATGGTGAGTCTTTCAAATGCCGCGGCCCTTTAATACAGTTCTTCACGTTGTGGTGACCCCCAACCATAGAATTATTTTCGCTGCTACTTCATAACTGTCATTTTGCTACTGTTATGAACCGTCATGTAAATATCTGATATGCAGGATGTATTTTCAGGGGTTGCGACCCACAGGTTGAGAACCGCTGCTTTAGGGTTTTCTATGTACAGAATCATGTCATCTGCAAAAATGGACACTCTCACTCCTTCACTCCCAATTTGGATGCCTTTTATTTCTTCCCCTGGCCTGATGGCTCCGGTCAGAACTCCCCGCGCCGTGTGGGGTAAGCGTGCTGAGAGGGGGCGTCCTTCCTGCTCCTGGTCTCAGTGTTTCACCATTGAGTGACGTGAGCTGAGGGTTTGCCGTACGTGGCCTTGATTATGGGGAGGCCCTGTCCTTCTATCTATACCCATTTTACTGAGCATTTTAATCATGAATGGATGCTGTGTCTCATCGAATGCTTTTTAGCATCTTCGATAAGATCATGTGACTTTCCTAGTGTAAATGTGATGCATTACACCGATCACTTTGCAAATGTCAAAGCATCCTTGTGCCTCTGGAATGAAGCCCCCTGGATCCTGATGTATTGTCTTTTTAATGGACTGTCTTGTTGTATTTAATTTGCTAGTATTTTGTTCAGGGTTTTTGCATCTGCACTCATCAGAGATGTTGGTCTGTGGTTTTCTTTTGTGTGTGTTACCTCGGCCGGGTTTGGGAACGATGCCTTTCTGACCCTCGTTTCTAACGCACAGACAGGCTTTTCTCCGCGCCTCGCGGCCTTCAGATTTGTAGGCAGCACACCAGGAACCCCGCTCCGGTCCCACCCACAGTGTCACCGGGACTCGAATGGCAGGACGCGGGGGCAGCCAAGTTCAGCGAGAGGCGCTGCCTCCTGGGCCCCCTCCCGCGGGGCCTCGCGGGCCTCCTGGGACCTCGCGACTCGGTGCCGCCCCAGCCCTTCTCCCCAGCACCACCGAGCAGAGCAGCAGAGGCGGAGCGGGAGGGGGAGACGTTCCTGAAAACAGCCTTCGCTCGCTCTCTCTTCCGGTGCTCCCTTCCGAGCGGCAGGAAGCCGTTTCTAGACACACCGGCCTCCATTCCAAGGCGACTGAAAGGCTGCGGTCCGTGGGGCGCCTGGGGGTGGGGGCGCCGGGTGCCAGGCCCCCGTTTCTCCGGGGCGATCGCCACCTGGAGGCACAGCGGGGCGGTCCGGTCCGGTCCCGGGGCGGCTGCCGCTGGGTCACTCTCCCGGGCGAGCGGCCGGCCGAGCCCCGAGGCCGCGGAGCAGGGGAGGCCCCGCCATCCTGCCCACTGCGATCGGGCCTGGGCTGGCGCAGGCGTCCCCGCGGGTGGTGTGTTCTCTTTCATTTTCTTTTTAATATT